ACCCAGGAGGAGTGAACAAAGGGTCGGAATGATGGCGAGATGATTTCGTTTACCTTCAGAAGTTAAGATTTCTTTCATCATGTTTTCTCAGCAACCACAGATCTAGAAATTCATGTGTGACTTTGTAAGTTTGCTAAAGAAATCAAGATTTTCATGTGGTTCCTTGATTGTTATCGACTGGAGAATGAAGAAAACATTGAATCCCATGACATTCATGAGATTGTGAGTTTTGATAGGGCTGACTGAAAGCACACATAATTATCTTGATATGCTAATGCTTATTTTCGGCAGAGAGTGGTCAGCTGTTTCTGGGTGAACTTTCTCCCTCTCTCTTTTGGTTATAAGAAGTTTTTCAGTGTTGTGCAATAGGGAAACAGATTGGAAATGGTAATTCCTGCCCCAAGGGCAAGGCTGAAAGAAGGTGGGAGGCAGAGGAACTATTTAAGCAGCTCAGTGGCTTGGTCAGACACCGAACCGTGTTTTGCCTTTCAATTGGAGCTTTAGGTCTCAAGAGCATTTTCACAGAAGACTGCTGGTTTCTGCAGAGCAAGGCATAACTCATGGCTATGTGAGAATTGCATACGTAAGACACACAAAGCCCAGGTTTTAGAAAGCACATTTATGGGCCTTTTCCAAAATAATAGCTCTCTCATGCACAAATGCCTCATATCCAAATAAAGATTTGGTTTAATTCATGAAGGGGCTGATTTGTCTGCTAGATTGTTTCCCATAGAATCATAGAATCATAGAATCACAAGGTTGGAAATGACCTACAAGATCATCTAGTCCAACCGTCTCCTCATCACCATTGCCACCACAAGCACTAAAATCATGGATCAGTCCATTCGCAAGCACAGTATATACAGGCATCTAGTTGGGTGTTACTGCTGCTTATTTCAAGGCAATAAGCAGTTTAGTACAGTGCAAAATTCAAAACTTTTATTCCACAGAGCAATCAAAGCAGATTTTACCTACTGGTTCACTGCCAGAATAAATACTACCTACTAAATGTGCTCCCATTCAGAGATTTCATCAGATCAAAGTACAACCACTGATATTGTCAAGCTTCATACTGTATTAAAAAAGGGTTCATGAATGACTGAAAAACATTTTAATTTCATTTTCAAACATGTTACTCATCACATCTTAATGAGGTGCAATCTCTCTTTTAACAGTGGTGTACAAGGGGGTGGTGCAGTTCTTCTGAATGCTGTGGTTTGGTCTGGGATAAAGCCTTCGTTGGAAGATGGAAATGGCATTTATGGAACCTCTGGCACCCTAAAACAGGTGTCCCTAGAACATAAAGAACAAGTGAATACTGCTCACAGACATAGGCTTTGGTTTTTGAGTGGTCCCGACCATGCAGGAGTTAGGAGTTGAACTCAATGATTCTTGTGCATCCTTCCAGTTCAGAATGTTCTATGATTTTATGATTCAGGCTGCTCCACAGGGCAGTTATACAATGTTTAAAGTTATACAACCCTCCCAGGGCAGTGGGATGTTGGAAACTCAGCAGTGGCCCAAAAGAGGCTAACACAGAAGCTGTTCATAAGAGCTGGTGAGAACAAATGTGCTCCACAACAACTTGCCAAGAGATGGTAATTGCTTAGAAATGGCATTTTTATTTCAGTTATTAAAAAAAGAAGAAAAAAAGTCAAGAAAACCTGGAGCATTCCTTTTCAAGAGATATAATTTGGTGTGAGAAAAACTAAAGGAATGACAGGGATAAGGAACAGAAAACATGGAGGCAGGCAGGGGGGATCTCTGAGACATCAGGAATTAAAATGAGGAGGTTGTAATCTATTTATAGAAAATGTGGTAACCAGCCCCAGATCTTAAAGCAATTGAGGTGGCAGAATCAAGCTCAGAATGTTAATTACTGTAACTAAAGAACGAGTATACTTATCATCTGATATAAAGCAATTTCAGAAACACCCACGTTTTTTAAATAATAGTAATAACAGTAATTGGAAACATGAACTGACAAGTCATTTGCAGCTCATTATATCGCAGCAGAGTGGAAAAGCTCATATCTTTACAAAGCCCCCTTCTTATCAACCCAGCCTCCCAACAAATACACACACACAAAGGAGGTCTAAAGAGCTACTGCACAGAAGATATACCACAGACGTGGGACCCAAATCATAGTGCTTCTCCTAGGTCTGATTTTTGGGATAGGGTAGAACTCAAAGCCCATACCAGTAGTTGGCTTCAGAAACACTGACTTGTCCAAACAGGTGTGTCCTTCAGTGTAAATCCAGTCAGCTGTTCTGAGCTACCTGCTTTCATTTGGATTTGCAAGAAGCTGAGGAAGACTTCATCAGATAAGGGGAAGAGGCTTTTGTCTGCCTGGCTTCCAGGAATGCTCCCACTGTCCTGTGGCAGTACCCTAATGAAATGCCAGTCCCTGTCTTAATGTTGGTTTATTTAATGTTAATTTCAGTTTGGATATTAGGAAAAAAGTATTCTCAGAAAGAATGCTGTGGTGTTGGAACAGGCTGCCCAGGGAGGTGCTGGAGTCACCATCTCTGGATATCCTAAAGGAATATGTAGGTGTGGCACTGAGGCACACGATTTGGTGGGCTTGGTGGTGATGGGTTGACTGTTGGACTAGAAGATCTTAGAGGTATTTTCCAACTTTGATGATTCTGTTATTCTATGTATCTTGAAAATTGATATCCAGGCCCCTCAGACTTCTCTTATTTGGGCTCATATGGGTTAAGAATAAAACTTCAAGATGTCAGAGAAGAGAATCCTGTCCTTGTGTGCCACAATCCTTGAGCCCAAAGTGACTGAAGAGCAACTTCTGCCTTGCTTATCCTTGCCCTCCTGTGTCCTGAGCAAAGGCAGATGAGGACATAGAAGTGGACATGGTCATGAGTCTCACGTTGCTGTGTTGCAGACTTCCTTGAAAGGGAAAAAGACAAATAGTTTTGCAAAGAAGCAAGAAGCAGCCAAATGCAGCCTGGATGCTGGAGGAAAAAAAAAATGCTTTATTTTCTTCCAACTATTCTAGTCTTCACTTTATGGAATTCAAGCCTAGAATAATTTTTGTTTGCACAATGCAACCACAAAAAGAACTACACAGAAATGCCCTGTCCCCAGCCCACATTGGCATTCAGCAGCTCCAGGACACCTTATCCTGTGGCTGCCCATGGAAGGTGGCAACCAAAGGAGAAGGTAACTGGGAACATATTTGCATTCCTTATGATATTGAAATTCCCATCCAGTATAATGTACAGGGTGATCCAGTGCCTAGCTAGCCCCAGAGCTAATGAGCAGTAGTAGTAGTGTGAAGTTAGTTTTGACATCCCTCATCCCTCTTGTGTGCCCTACACAGCCAGCAGCTCAGCCACATTGAGGCCTGCAGTTTCCTCTGGCTTTGTGCACCATGGATGAGATCCACCTGGACCCTCGCCCCAATCTTTCAGTTGCTCAGAGGAGGCTCTGGAGCTTGGTTCTGACTTTGTCAGCGTTTTCCTGTGAGCTCGCACTGGGACTGCGATTTGCAGATTCCCATCTGTGGCCATGCACAATGTGGTTACGCTTTGCTCTCTCCTTGTGTCTTTCCGGATGTCTGCCATCTGGCAGGCCCTACTCCCATTTGCAGTCCTCTCCAATGAGGGTGACGGATTTGCTTGCCACCAGCCACACAAACGCACACATTGTGTGCCTGTGTGCCTCTGGCTGTGTGCCTGGCTTCTCCCAGCTATAGCATAGCCCACCCATTCTGTACATTTCAACCCTGATGCATAATCAACTTAATATACAACAATAATTCCTTCCTATTTCAAAACAATCTTGCCCTTCTTGCTACCACTTCATTAATTTATTTGGCTGAGTTGCACAATGGCTTTTCCAAGCTGCAAACATCAGCCCTATTCTCTCTGAGTATCTCTAAACTGGGTTCAATTAGGATCAAGAATACAATTTTTTTTAACATATTTTGTGGTTGCACCCCTCAGATTGCAGCATAGGCTTGGAGTGTGCAAGGTGGGATCCTGCCATGTGACACTTACCAAGGGGGTCTCCACAGCCACTGATATGCACTCATAAAAGCCCCAGTGATGGGTACTCCATAGGGGCATTGGCTCTGCCTCTATCACCCTTCTTATAGCTCTGCAATGCTTGTCCTTCCAGACAAAGCTGCAGCAAACTCTCCTTCATGCACTAATTTGAGGGTTGGAATCTGGCTTGTTGTGGTAGGAATGCAACAAGACAGAAAGAAAACTAGGAATCTCTCCTTGGCAAAGAGGAAAAGATCTGCGGCTCACTCCATCCACAGCATGAAGCAAATGCTCAACTAGAATGAAGAGGGATAAGCAAGAAGCTACGAGTTATAACCAGAAACTTCAAGACTTTCAAAACTATCTTTTAGAAACATTACTTCTTCAGTGCTTTGTGTTAAACCATGAGAGTCTCAGCAAACACATTTTATGGTACAAGCAGCAAACTGCAGTATTCTGATTTTCTCTCATGACCAGAAAGCTAACAGTTATCACACCTCTGGCCACTGAGGTTCTGGTTTTGTTCTGCTTTTAATGAAAAATTGAACAGGAAAGGACAGTGGTGGCCTGAATAGATAGATGTTGGCTGCTTGCTGCTCTGCCTTTTTCCTACAGCTCTCTTCAGACAGTCATATAGCACTCAAAGCATTTCAGGGGCTGTGAGGAGGGATCCTGGCATCCCCCTGCCCATTCAGAACACATTAGTTATTTCTTACCCCCGTCACAGGATCCTAGGCCTATCCACTGAATCAGCTCTGGTATTTTTCTCTAACTGTAGTTTTTCTGGTGTGCTCCTGTGCTTCAGAGCCCTACCGTGGCTGGCACAGAGCAGTTATTGCATTTACTGCCTTCACAGTAGGCTGTGGGAAACGATCTGCTGGTGGTGATCCTGGCCCAGCCACTTAGCGTGTGCTCTCAAAAACGCAACCAGGCACTGTCATCAAGGTCATCTGGCCACACTTTCAGTGAAAATGACAAATAAACCTCCCTGTGTTGACCAAAAGGCATTGCAAAAGTCACACTGCAGAAGAAGAGCAGAAAGAAACAGGCAGTGTTTGCCTGACACAGCCTGGACTCCAGCAGGAATTTGATCTTTTCTTAATAATACCTTGTGTAAGTCTCTACAAGCTGCCATGGGCATCGCTTCATCATTGCTCACTGTAGTCCTGCTGTGCAAGGCTGCAGCTTCTTCAGCACCAGCAGATTCATGGCTGCTGACAGCCATACTACCAAACACCAGCACAGGGCTGGGCACCACGTTCTTCCCTCTTCAGACTATCTGGAAAAACAGGTACCTATAAGCTGTGATCTACGAATTCTGGCTTCTTTTGTTTCTCTCCAAAGCTAGGTCCCTTCTCACTGTTAAGCTGTTGTCTGTAGTTCCTTGGAATTCCTTCTCAAGGCATTTTTGCAATTTCCCTAATTCCCCACCACTGATCATGTCTGTGAGCAACCCAAACCCTTGGATTTATTTCTTTTTAGGTTACTGGATGTCAAACAGCTGCTCACCACTGGTTCCTCCTCTGGGCTCCATCGAGATTATGAATCTTTAAGAGTACTCTGAGCCTTCTGTACCAGCACAGCTTGTTTTTCAGCTGACAGGGCTGTCAAATCAGCTAAACTGGATTTCTTCTTGGCAGACCTTGATTCTGCAGCTACTGCATCCACTTGTGAACCGCATTTCTATTTACAAATAGATGAAATGATTTCTCCACTTGGAGTGTTTATAATAGCAATAATTTTGGATTAGGTGATTGTTCGTATTAATAGTGAAATGAATGTTCTTTTCTTGAACACCTCCAGGGACTGTGAATCTCTATGTTCCCTAGGCAGCCTGTTCCAAAGCCTCACCGCCTTCTGAGAAGAATTTTTTCTTAATATCCAGCCTGAACCTTCCCTGGTGCAACTTAAGGCCATTCCCTCATCCTATTGCTGTTACCTGAAGAAGAGTCCAACCCTCACCTCACCACAAACTCCTTTCAGTGCGTGGTGGAGAGCGCTAAGGTCTCCCCTGAGCCTCCTCCAGACTGCACAGTCCCATCTTCCTCAGCTGCTCCCCATAGTACTTATGCTCCAGACCCCTCACAGCTTCACTGACCTTCTCTGGACAAACTCCATGGCCTCAATATCTTTCTTATAGTGAGTGGCCCAAAACTGAACACAGTACTCACAGTGTGGCCTCACCAGTGCTGAATACAGAGGAATGGTCATCTTCCTGCTCCTGCTGGCTGCACTGTTTCTGATACAAGCAAAGACTGGAGCTGGAGAAACCCCAGCCCACAAAGAAACTTGGTGGCTTTAGGAAGTCAGCCATGAGGCTGAGCTTGTTTGTGCTCTTGGGCTGTACCTGTACAAGCTCAGCCCTCCTATGCAGCCTTTCAGATTAAGCTCCTGTATGCCAGTCAAGCAAAGTGTACAATTTGCTCCTATTCAGCATAATCATAGGCTGTCCCTGTGCCTGGAACAATTTAATGAATACCTTGGGACCTATGCTGCTGTCAGATCACAATACCACCTTTCACAAAAGCTCTCACCACTGTTGCTATTGCTGGTTGTGACACTGTGAAGAACCTCCTGAGCTCCAGACAGGTATGATATCAGGTGTCCTGACATCATAAATGCATTTATTCAAGCTGCACCAACCTGCAGTAACCACAGAGAGAAATATCCTGACAGTCTTATTTCTCAGATGCATTTTTAGGGTAAAGGACCAGGAAAAGGTATTTCGTTATTTCCCATACAACAAAGGATGAGCCTTTTCTCATGTCCGTGTGGTATTAATGACTCTGGTGAAGCCATTGCACTGCCCTACCAAACCACAGTAGTTTCACAAGAAGGTTGCAGTGCAGTTTTGTGAAGGAGGAAGAAAATAGCTGGAGCCATACAGAGACAGGAAGGACTGCGCTGTCATCAAGGCAGGCTGCCTTCAGCAGCACTTCTCCTAAGTTTGAGGAACCACAAAACCAGAGCAATTTCAGCAGGTTTTCAATGAAGCCTGCGCTACTGGGAAGTATGAGACTCTGGTTTTGGAACAAGGAAAGGGATGGGCCAAAACTCCACGGGGAGACTTCAGGTAAGTCATTTGCTTGAGACTTGAGGAGGGGCCCGGGAATGGACAGTGTCAATACTACGCCCCAAAACCCTGAGGTGCTCTTGCAGGGACATATCCTAAGGGGACGGTGACCCCTGGCTCTTACCATGCAGAAATCCAGGGCTTGGCAGGAACAGCCCGAGTACAGGATGAATCTGTGCTGTAGACTGCAGGGGTGCACTGCACAGCTTCATGCACATTCTGATGGGGAATTTCCCACACAGGGAAACCCTTGTGCAGTGAACAGATGCTGCTCATATGGTCAGGTGCTAACTGCATCTCACATACCTTCAGGGGACACCACAGGGCCAGACTTCATGCTCAGAGGCTGTGCTGACTGGAGATGGGAACCCAGCCCTGCAGAGCATGAGCCCTGTTTGCAGTCAGTCCTTCCTTCTGCCTGCTTCCCATGGGCTGCACTGAGTGTGCTCACTGCTTGGGCATATCTCCAGCATGCAGCATCTAACAGCCCATCTGGTTCTGGCCATTCCTCTAGCTTCTTTCCAGCCAGCAGTCCCTTTCGCAGTCTCCCAAGTAACAAATCTTGTATTATCATCCTTATCATTATTATTACTGTGGTAGTGGTTGCTGTTGTTATTATTGTTTGGTACGACTTTGGGGGCATTTTTGGGACTTCAGTGAATGGAACCAGCAAAGTATCTCCACAGGGCATGTGCCTGGGAAACACTCCTTACTGACCCAGTGGGCTGGAGTGCTCAGCAGCTTCTCCTTCTGGCAGCTGTAACAGGAAAGTTAGTTCTGCATCAGTTTCAAGTCTGGTTTTGCAGCATTTATTCTTCTGCTGCTTCCTCCTCCCCACCTTCTTTTTGGCAATGAAATAAAAAACAAAACCAGTGTACTGTAGGCTTTCCTCAATCGAATACACTTGCACAAATAGCTTTGTTCTGATTTCATACAGCAACCCATAACTTCCTTGACACTGAAAATCAACTTTTAGTGCTCTGAACCCCAACAAGACATTCCAGGGACAGGGATGCTATTTCCAGCGCTGAAAAGGCTGCAGCCAATCAAGCAATCAATCCATATGCTGGGTTAGGATTGCCCTTGTTATTGAGGGTGGGCAGATTCAGGTGCAGAGAGCCAACCAAATGAATATGACACAATTTTTATTGATTTGCTCAGTGAGTTACTGCAAGTAAGTTTTCCTTGCGCTATTTATGGGGTTTCCCTCTTCTAAATGTTACCAAGGTCACTGTGGTGTAACACTAATTTGTTTGTGTAACCCCTGAGCAATGCATACAGAGCCAGATGTTATTTCAGAAACTACACTTGGGGAAGGTTTTCTAAAACCTGTACGTTAAAACGTCACGGCACAGTGATTCTTGCCATAACACTAACAGGGCTGCCTCAGTGGCACTGAGCTTCTTGCCATGAAGGGGGGGTTGGGCTGCCCCAATGCACTGCTCCCACCCCATTAGATCCACCACTGCTCTGCACCTTGCAGTCTGATTGCTGGAGCTGTTTTTCATCACTTCATGGCAGCAGAAACAAAGAATCAGTGGGCTTGGTATAACGACTGATTTAATTAAGATAAACTTGAGAAATCAGAACCTTGGGAGCATGGCAGAAAGCGAAAGAGTACACATTTTATGGTAATTAGTACAAATAGTAGTCTGCCTCCAAAAAATACTCCGCATTTTTCTCATAGCTTCTTCGGCAGATTAAAGTACAAGCCTAAACCTCTATGAATATTTACTTTGCACTGGCATTGTAACTTGGTAGCCTAACACCAATTTGCAGCATGTGATATGCAAAACATTACTGGACTCAGCACAGTATTAAAACTCCGGAAATTTAATTCTGTTTCATCACATTTTTTTTCCAAAATACAAAGCAGAACAACACCCTACAGAAACTCACATAACGACTGATGCTGTCCCCTATGAAGAGCTTGGTGGTTGAAACTACTACTACCACAAAGCGAACGCTTTGTACCTTAAGTACGTAAGACTTAAGGTTTTATTAGAGTCAGTCCATTAGGTTTAATTGAGTGGCTCTCCACTATGGGAAACTGCGCCGAGCACAAAACTGGCAGCAACCAACCCAGCAGAGTCCATTCTGACTTCAAGTGGTGTGCAAAACAAATCAACCAACCAGCTAACGCATCTTTTGCACTTGTTGGTTAACACAGAAGAACAGGCATGAACAAGGGTATTCTTCCATTTTTGACTCTTAACACGCTTGCCAGGTAAAAGCAGTAAAAGCCTTTAACTAGCCTTCCATTTTTACCATTAAGTTCACTAAACTGGAAGCAAACATTGGAACAGTAAATGTTGTACTTTGTACGACATGTTTCAGCTTCTACTTCCTGAAAACTGGACGATGAACAAAATCAGACCACTTTTCTGATAAAACAAGTGGTAAAACGAGTGGTGTTAGTGAGATCTCAAAATGCTTCTGAAGTCATTCTTATCTATAGGAAAGAAGGAGGACTAAAAAATAAGATAACAACTTTTCTGTAAGCAGCTGCAGGCCCAATATAGTTAAATTGAACTATTAACATACTGAGTAAACATTTATTTTTCATTTGGTCTTATGATTTTATGGCTTCTTTTTTTTTTTTTTTTTTTTTTCCAATTTAGGTCAGAGTGGAATTTTAATAACATCACTACGTTTATATGCTACTGCTGCACAGCTTGGACCTGTAATATCTGCACTTGCCACTCTCTGTAGCAAAAGGACTGCCTGCAAATGCAACACATTTCTGAGGAAGAGGCAGGTGTACAGTACAGGATCTCCCTTGCCATTCTTTAGGAAACACTGCAGAGCAGGTAGTTTCTCTCCTTTCCAACCCCTTTTAAATACTGGCATGGGGGCCTGCACCATCACAGCAGTTCTTCAGCACAGTGGAAAAAACGCAGTGATGCAAATTAAATAGTTGAAACATCTGAAGGTAGGAAACACTCATTTAACACTTTAGCAATTGCCTGGTACTGGAAGGACAATAAATTTTGGAAAATTCTTTCCTAGGTGCTTCTTTACTGCGCCTGCAATGAGTCAAGTTGCACATTTATTTTTAACAACCTGCATATACAAACCCACTAGTCTCTTAACTGATTTAAAGATTTAATAAAATCTTTAAGTATGTCTTTATTATCTTTAAAAAAAAAATTCCCTTCATTTGTTTGTTCCACACTGTTACTCTACAAAGCCTTCTTCATCAGCACAGATCCATGGTTCAGTGCTTAGTCTTTGCTGCCTTCAACATCATGATTTGCTGCGCTCCAAGTAGAGGAGAATCAACACTTCTCATCTTCAAAATTTTATTTTTTTTTAAATTTATTTTTATTTTTTTATTTTTTATAAGAGTGTATTCCTACACTCTTACCTCATAAACACTATCAACATTAATCTCGTATACTTTCTGTAACCGTGTTTCAGTGAGAATTTCATGTCTGTGCCCTACAGACACTTCTCTTCTTGCCCGAGTCCTTTTCTGCCCAAAGAAATGTCCAAAGGCAACTGCTCTCCCTCAAAACCCAGACTGGGAGTGGATTACTCCTACTGGGGATTAGTGCTCCCTCTGCTGCTCCATGCTGCCTGCCTGAGGAGCAGGTCTCCAAAAGAGGATGAAACCTGTGTGTAACTTCCAGTAAAGCTGACCTCCAGTCAGGTTTCTCCTCATTATCTGTAGGAGGGGGAAAAAGAATAAATA